GAGTGTTATAAGGTCAAGCCTAATTATGCTAAGAGGACTGTGCCCTCTAAGCTGGGACTTGTTTGTGACTTTGCCAACAGGTCAGTCCTAGGCTTAACCCTGTATCAATTCCCCACACATGTGAGCACAAAATATTTCAGATAACTCTAGTCTTAGCTTCAAGTGTCTGATACCCTAGGAAGGAATCCAGGGGAAAACAGCCCAGCTGAGACTATCAACTCCCAGAACCATGAGCTATGATATTGGGGTGGTTATCTATGAAGCAATAGCTAACCTAAATAAGCTTATCATAATGAAAATGTATTTCTTGCCAATTCAGAGTTCATTAAGAATAATGATTTTTTTTAGTAAAAAGAATACAGTTCATTAAGAATGCAACTGCAAAAAAAGAAGGATCTCTCACCATTTGAGACAGCATGGAGGGACCTGGAGAGTACTATGCTAAGGAAATAAGCCAGTCAGAGAAAGACAAAGTCACATGATCTCACTCATACGTGGAATCTAATGAACAAAATAAACTGATGAATAAAATAGGTCCAGAGACACAGAAGCATGCAATAGACTGACAAATCTGAGAGAGAAGGCAGGGGTTGCGGGTGGGGGCTGGGAATGGGGCTGGGAAGTGGAGATTAACCAAAGAATTTATATGCAAAAAAAGAAAAAGAAAAGAACTTATATGTAAGGGTTCTTCATGACCCATCTCAAAAATGCAGGCTTCTCTGGTCTTGTAGACTCCTAGATCATGATCCTTCCTCTAAAAGTTCCACAGCAGGAGAAGGGAACGTTAGTGCAAATGATACATTCACATCCCTCTTGCTTGCTGACCATTGGCTAAAACTGTTACAATGGTAGGCCTAACTTCAAAGAGGGTGTGGAAGCATACTGCTCTGCAGCGGGGGAAAGAGAAGAGAATTAAATATACATCCACCACATTCGTCCTCTCTTTCCTGTCAGTGCATCAGCTCATCAGAGAACAAGGTATTCTTTTTCTGACTTGGAGCCATGTATCTTTGTGTAACCATAGCTGCCCCACAGTGCTACCAGTGGAAACTACATACTCTAGGGACAAAAGCTCTTTCTCCCAGTACCAGGTATCAATCTTCTTAGAACTGTAATTCTCTTATTTAAATGCATTCCATTCTTTAAATGCTTTCCATCCTTTAAACACATAAAGGATTGAGCCCTGACTTATTTACCTATTGCTGCATAACAAATTACCCCAAATCTTAGCGGCTTAAAGCAACATTTATTGTTTCACAGTTTCTGTTGGTTAGAGGACCTACTTAAGGTTTACCCTCTGGCTCTAGATCACTCTTAAGGAAGGCTCAGTCACCTCAGGAGTGGAGGAATGACCTGCTTCTAGGTTACTTTTGTGGTTGTTCACAAGATTCAGGTTTCCAGAGCTGTTGGACTATGGCCTCCATTTCTCATGTGTTTGGGGAATAAGGAGTAGCTTTGTGTTACTGGAGCATGGGGGATTGTAGGAATGGTGGACCGTAAGGTGGGCAAAACTGAAGCTAGATTGTGAAGGACTTTGTGAACAACAAGTGAATTCAACTTTAATTTAGGAAAAATAGAGAGCCCTAGAAGCATGATAGCTTGCTGTCTACTGCCTCCAAATGATAATACATAACCTTTATTGAATCATACTATAGGCATTATATTTATCTCGCTCAGTCTTCACAGCCATCATATGCAGTATGTACTATTATTAGCAGCATTTAAATAAAACATGGGAGTCAAGTAGTTTTAGCCCCAAGTCACATTGGTAGGAAGTGTCAGCGAGATGTCAATCATGGTTTGACAGCAGTTGCTTCCCTGACCCTGGTCTGTGCCATCCCACCACACACATGTTCCCACACATTCTTGCTATATTCTTTCCTACTCACCTTAGTTGGAAGGCCAAGAAATGCAATTTTTGAACCTACATTTTGTGTTAGATATAGGAAAAACTTCAGCAATGGTTTTTCTTTTTTTAAAATTTATTATGTATTGGTTTCGGGTGTACAGCTTCGTGGTTAGACAATCATATAATTTACATAGCGTTCCCTTGATATTTCCAGTAACCGAAATGGCTCTATACATAGTTATCACTACGTTATTGACTACATTTCCTATGCTTTACCTACTTCCCCATGACTATTTTGTAACTACCAATTTGTACTTCTTAATCCCTTAACCTCTTTCACCCGGTGCAACCACCAGTTCTCTCTCTGTATCTATGAATCTGTTTCAATTTTGTTTGTTCATTTATTTTGTCTTTTAGATTCCACATGTAAGGGAAACCATATGATATTTGTCTTTCTCTGATTGACTTATTTCACTGAGCATAATACCCCTAGGCCAGCGGTTATCAACCTGTGGGTCAAGACCCCTTTCGCGGTCGAATAACCCTTTCACAGGGGTCGCCTAAGACCATCCTGCATATCAGATATTTACATTATGATTCAAAACAGTAGCAACATTACAGTTATGAAGTAGCAACAAAAATAATTTTATGGTTGGGTCACAACATGAGGAACTGTATTTAAAGGGCCAGAAGGTTGAGAACCACTGCCCTAGGCCCACCCATGCCGTGATAAGCAATAATTTCTTTTGTGGTCTCAGATATGCTCTCTCTTTATCATTTTGAAGAAATTTCCAACATACACAAAAATAGAAGAGCAAAAATGAGCTTAGCTTGAATATTAATTGATATTGTGCCACTTTGGCTTCATTCACCTTCCCTCCATCCTTCAAATTTTACTTCTGGAGTTTTAAAAAGTGAATTCTAATACAGCATAGTATTTTAACCATAAATATTTCACTATCTCTAACCAAACAAAATTTAAAAATATATAGTCATAACACCATTATCACACCCAATAAATGAACAGTAATGCCTCAATATGAGGTCCTATTTTTAAGAACGTTTTTCTTTTTTAACAAATAACATATACACAAAAGCTGCACTGAATAGAATGGTAGGATTCACATGAATAAGTCCTTTTTTTAAATAAGTAAAATAAAATGTTTTCAACTGAGTTTATAGGATTGATCTTGTTAGAAAGGACAAATGTCTCAAGGTCTGGGCAGATCTGACTAAATGCTATTGTTGCTGAATTTTAAAATGCAGCACAGTATTCTGCAGATGCAGCTGTAACAAGATGAGCTTGACAGGAACCCAACCTGATAAGTGAGTGTCACTAGTCATTTTAAAAGAAGAATCAATATGTAATTGACCACATGGTGTTAATAAGCAATGGCTAAGCTTCCCTTAGGCTTTGGATGTAAGCTCATATGCAAAGTAAATAAAACTGCCTTGCAAAAACTTCCTTGAATAGAGCACCCAAGCTTTAAAACCCTTGAGTTTGATAATAATCAGCATACAATAACAGTGACTTTTAGTAACATTTATTGCAGAAACATTTTCCAAATTTGTCATAGTTTAAATATTTTGATAAGGGCAGGGTCCACATAGAATTTAGCTACTACAAATCAACACCTAATGCAGGTAAGACCTTCTCTGGAGGCAAATTAACCTTTCTTTCCTATAAGTAGGGATTGTAGATTCATGTCATAGATCCTGTAACAATCATCGTTGTATACTTATCTGTGTGTTCAGAAATCACATTGTTCTCATGATATGTTGATCACTGTCATCTGATGGTCATTGGTGCCAACAGGAATCCCCAATTTGGGGTGCAGTGAAGAAGGAAACTTTATTCAGTACAAAACAGCTCAATTGGGATATGGCATGGCTGTGGAACAGCCCTGGGGCCAGGCCCTTCTCTAGCTCAGCACCAAACTGGGGAACACAACCCTCAGCCTTCCTTGGAAAGGGACAGTGCACTCTCAGAGCCTGCAGGGAGCTGGCTTATATAGACAGAAGTAGCTGCCCCTGGCCCCTGATTGGTCTGGCTTCATGCAAATGGCACTCCAAATCTTCAAAGTTTGATTGGCCCCAAAGGTACTGTCCTGATTGGTCAGAATAGAGCCACTCTGGTTGTTTGCAGATGCAAAGCTCTGATGGAGAAAGCTTCGGTCCTATTGGTTAAAGTAGGATTCCAGGAACCGCTTTATAAAAGCTGATGCAGACAGCAGCAGCACAATGCAGGCAGGTAGTTCAGTGCAGAGGCAGGTAGTTCAGTTTAAGCTTCTCCCTGAAGTGGAGAAGCCCTTGTGTAGAAATGGCTGCCAGGCTTATTATTATTGTTATTATTTGTTGTTGTTTTTTAACTTTAGCCCATTAGCCAACTTCTTAGTGTCTTCATTCTCCTACGGGTTCACATCAGGTTACTCAGTTTCATCCTTTGAACACCTAATGATTCTTATAAAGCACACTTCAAGAAGCTCACCACCCTCTAATTGTATTTCAGTCACACCCAAGAGTGTGGTGGCCTCTAGGTACAGATGCCGTGTATCTGGAAAGAAATTTGGAAATATTTAAGGCTACTTTCATTTATATCTGACAAAAAAAAAAAATGAGGCGCATTTCATTGCAACTGGCAATAGTCTTATCAACTGACTCATTTGATCTATCAGTACCCACGTTTTTATAACAATAAAATTGTTTTTGTAAAAAACTACAACCGCATAGTCTAGTTTCACAATTACCTCCAATTAGGCAATACACACACGCAGAGAGTACTTGAATTTTCCTTGCCCTTTCAGCCGGAGACGCTCACCATGTCCCTCCATTTTTCATTACACAGGTTTACTTTGCAGCCCATTGTTCTCTTTGCCACCCTTTGAGGAGGGGGTGCATTTTTTAAATTAGTGGCCATGTTTCTCTTTAGAAAAAACCCACACGCGCCAACCGCCCTTCCTGGGTAGCCTGGGCACACGCGGTGCCTGTTGGTGCCTGTTCTTCCTTATGCAACAGCCAGTCATCTGTTTCTGTTCAGCTTGGTGGTCAGGAAGAAAGGGAAGCCGTCGCCTAGCAACCGACACCCCGGGCCACGCAGCGGGAGGGGGCGTGGCCTCAGCGCGCCGCGGCGGTTAAGAGGCGGTGCCCGTCCCCGCCTCCAGCCGGGCCTGTGCGCGCGGCCCGGTGCAGGCCAGGGAGCCGGCGTCCCCTCCGACCGCCCGGGAAGGTCCAGGGCGCGCGAGCAAGGCCGCGGATCCGTCTCTCCTTTCGCTCCGCGCCCCACGATGGCGGGCGGGCGCTCCGGCCCGCTGCTCACGGCGCTCCTGGCCGCCTGGGTCGCGGTGGCGGCGGCCGCGGACGAGGCGGAGGAGGCCGGGCCCGAGCACGCTGCGCTGCCGGCCGGGCAGAGCATGGTGCTTCCCATGACTGCCTCCAACTGGACACTGGTGATGGAGGGCGAGTGGATGCTGAAATTGTGAGTGTGCCCGCCCGACCCGCACGCCACACCGTCCGCCCTCCCGGCGCCCCGCGGGCCGCCCCCGATGCCGCACGCTCCGGGGGCTGGACCTCGGGCCCCCGGCGAGCTGCGCTACCCCCGGCTGCTCGCGCTGCGCATGCGCCGGCCCTCCGCGGTGACAGCCGAGGGGGAAGCGCGATCCCCTCCGCTCCCTCGCCTTGCTTGCCCCCTACTTTAGGGAAAAGTGTTTTAGGGGTGGGGTGGCTGAGCAGCTTCCCACGGAGAGGTCCTGGGGAGGGGGAACGGAGAAAATCTGCCAGAAAATAGCGTGCTTTTGATGTAGGTGTGTAGGTCGAGGAGAAAGGGCGGTCATTCAATGACACTTACCGTGCAGAACAAATACGTAGCGTGTGCTAGGCAATGCATTCGTTGAATGAATAGTTGCTGCACCGAGAGGGCAGGCCAGTTTGTCTCTACACTATCTTAGTATTCATTTTGAAAATCCGAGGTATGAAAAAATAAAACAGATTTTGAAATTTTAAAATCAAATGTTGATATTTGTAATTTTCAGGGGTAAGACTTTCTGGGTAATTGTAACTTAATTGTGCTAGTGTCATAAAGAAAAGGATATTAATAAATTGCCTCCCATTTGAAAGATAGAAAGTAAATCATGGTTAGTGCCTTTACTTGATGGCAAAATATAGTTTTGGGTTAGGAGCAGGCAAGGGACTGTTTATCATAGATTCAATTAATTTATACTAGGAAGAAAGATTTCAAGTGGACAGGGGTAGATGTTTGGATAGCCTTGAGAGACCATTCATGGTGGGCCTGCAGAGAAAATGAAGGATGGAGGAAAGATCACTAAGATCACATCTCATTGATCTGTGGTTTCAGCAATATACATATTTGATCATTACTATTTGACACCTAATTTTTCATTGAGTACATACACACTCATATAATTGGATCTTTCCTTTATTTGTCCCAGACTAAATTTTAAATCTGTTTAGATGCAAGCAGAAGTCTATAAAATGAAAAAGTCCCTGTGAGATCAGGGCCAAAAGTTAAGTCACTTAGCAGATTACGTTGTTCAAAGAACAGAATGCACGTTACCCCTCAAACATAAATTTACCCTTTAGACCTCAAAGTGAGTGCCTTTGGTATCATGATAAATCAATTAAATTATTAAAGACATCTGTTGACATGAAGCTCTTATTAAAATAAACCCCCTAATTGTGAATGGAGGTGAGGAGATCATTTTCCTTTTAAGAGAGAAACTTCTAAGCAAAGTGGAACTTAACTCAGGACTGCCATGTTTGTAAGAGTGTCAGAGGCTGCATTTGGTCAGAAGTAGTACAGGCAGTTCTTTTTTCAGGAAGTCCTTGCACAACGGAGTTTTTCTAGATGTCTGTTTTCCGATTAAAACTGAGTTTGTATATGACATGAAAGTCAAAGCAGAAAGGTCTCAACTATTTTATAGTTACTTTTGAAATAGTGCTTTTATTTTTTAGGCAAAATTACTAAGAACACTAAAGCTGAGGTAAGTGTAAGCTAAGTTAAGCTTATAAAGAGGCAACAGCCAATAGCTCCTATGTTTGGCCATGTTGACACTTCAAATTTTACTTGTTTGTAAATATACAAGCCTAGATGTAGCAATTGGCTGCTCTACACTTGTCATGTGTCCTTTGCATGGAATGCGTATGGGCTGTGTGATGCATGGTGAGACTTGTAACCCGGAAGTAAGCTGTATAGACACAAGATCATTTTGGTAGTTCTCTTCAGAATAGGAGCAAGGCTCAAAGAGGATTTCAACCACTGCTTCCAACTTTCTACATACTGAGCCTAGGTGCTTGACTGAAGAAATATTGTGACACTCCTCAAAAATGTAAAATTCATTATATTCTCACTACCTCTAGAGACCTATTAAGAATTTCTAAGAATTCATTCTAACAGCCAATAAGTTAAACTTTTTTCATGATATACAGGGTGTCCCCCCAAAATGTATATACACTTTAGTAGCTGATAGCTCCATTTTGAAAATGAAATGTTTTTTAACAAACACTGCCTTTATAATTTTCAAAGTGTATGTATACATGTTTTTGGACACCCTATATACAACAGAGAAAAACAAAATGTGTTAATACTAGTTTTCATGTTAACACTTTGTTCAGCTGAACTGGTCATAATAAATGGAACTTGTTAGACATTCACATGGTTAGATGGTGTATTTAACTTCTCTAAAGAATCAAGTTAGGTTTTCTGACAGTATTAAAAATTCTGACATTACTTTGAATGACAGTTCTTTATTTGTTCATTTGCTTATATGCTTCCTCTCTTCTGGGAATTTTTTTCTTTTACATTCCACTTTATACAAAGCTACCATAATGCAATTCCTGGTTATATTGGTATCAATAATTTAATTATTTTTTAAAGGATCTAACAGTGTCTGCTCGAAGACATGAAAAGCTTTTACTATAAAATTTAATTCGTACTACTTTCGGCCAATTTTTTTTTGGATCCTTGCAATTGAATATCAGTTTTTAAAAAGCACTCTTTGCTGAGGAGAAATATCAGTTAAAAATATTCACAATTCTGGAACCTTTTTCAAGATCTGAGAAATTCGTCCATTACTACATATTTACATTTTCTTTAACGCTGTGAACTTATATATTCTATTTTTATCTTACTTTTTGCTTTCATATATGGTTCTATGATTTCTACCCCCATTTCTCCCATAGCTCTATAATTGGCTTTCTGTGCTTTTTTCATCAACTGCTGATGGAAAATTTGCTCTTTCTCAAGGTTAGGAAAGATGGCCTAATCTTTAAAATGCCTTCTGATGTGTTATTTCCATTGTTTCATACTATCTTTTACTCAGCTGCTTCATAACCTTGTCCTATTTTAAACACTTTCTTGGCTCCCATTATTCAGTCTTTGAGAAAATGACTTTTGTTCTTTTGAAACAAAAGTATGCAATTTAATACATTCTGTATACTGTTCTGGTACCTGTTTCCTCCAAAAGAAACCTGAAGATATCCAAATAGCTTAAGAATGATGCATTGACCTTTAAACTGATATACAGAGAAAACGTTTGACTTTGGGTTAAAATTCCTCAGGAAAGAATGCAGATCTTTCTAACGCACTACTCTTCCTGACTTCGTTCTTGGGTTGATCATGTTTCAGAATTGCAATTAGTCATCTGGTGGTGGAGGAAAGCCTTATTTACTTCCCTGGGACATCTAGGTTTTAGTATTGTTTCCTCCATACCCTTATTATAATATTATTGGCTTACCTTACCCATATCAAATAGTTATAATTTTCTGCAGTGTAATAGATTGTTTTGATTTGATGATTGTGTTTTTGAGAGAGTCATTGCTTGTCATGTGTCAGCTTCCGAGTTGGGGATCTGGTAAGATGAAAATGAATGAGTCACATTCCTTGATTTCAAGGGACTGGCAGTCTACTGTGCCCTCAAGAAAGTAAATATTATATGTAGCATTCATTTATTTAGAAAATATTTACTAAATATTTCTTATCTGTCAAGCATCTAGCAATGGTTCTTACCAGAGCATTTTGGATTGGACTGTTCTTTGCTGTGTGGAGATGGTTCCCACATGGCAGAACCTTTGGCTTCCCTGGTTATTACATTCTAGTAATGAAGTGACATCAAAATAATTTAACAACCTCCATCACCTGTGCACATGTCCAAATACCTCTGAGAGAAAACCACTGCCCTAGTTACTGTTTTGGTTATTTAAAAACATGCAAAAGAGAAATTCATAAACTAACAAAGAAGTATTTGATTTCAGAATGTTTCCACAAAGGGTATTCTTCCACATCATTATTGTCATTGTCATTTCAATCATAGTGAACAGTTATGTTGTTTACATCACAGTTTCTTAATGCTCTTATTTGATCATCCAGCAATCAGATACAGAATTATCATTCTCAGTCTCATTCACTGGAGGAGACGGAAACTTGTGAAGATTAAAGCTTTGACCAAGGCTGGATCTTTAGTAAGTTGTGGACAAGGCCAGAACTAGAATGCAGACCTGAGCTTGGCAGTCTTTGATCAGGCCAGGGAGAGTAGCTGGGTAGTGGGGGAGCCTGAAGGGAGGCACAGAGTCAGGCTGATTTGTGCTTAGGCTCACAGCTGCCAGCACCTAGGCCCACATAAGGGGAGGCCTTTTCCCTATGGGATTCAGTGGCCTATCAATGGTCTTACCATCTTTCTAGTTTCTGCAAATGAAGATTTTTATTGCTATACTGGAGGCCTGGTGCATGACATTCGTGCACTCAGGGGGGGGAGGGTCCCTCAGTCTGGCCTGTGCCCTTTCACAGTCTGGGAGCCCTTGGGGGATGTCCAACTGACAGCTTTGGCCTAAGCTGTCAGTTGGACACCTTAGCACTGCTGCAGAGGTGAGCCAGCTGGGTAGTAGGGGAGGAATGTGACTCATTCATTTTCATCTTACCAGCCATCAGCCCGGCTTGTGGCTGAGCATCTCCCCCCGTGGTCAGTGTGTGTAATAGTGACCAGTCGTTCCACTGTTCATTCGATTTGCATATTACCCTTTTATTATATAGGATGCTCATTCCTGACACACCTCAGCACTCATACAGGTTCTCTGACTTCCCAACTCCCTGGGAAAATTCTTTTTCACTGTGTCTTGTGTTGTCTAGCAGGGCCCATATCGCAACTTGTAATTATAAGTTAATTTATATGCTTTGGTACTGAGTTTTTGTCTGAGTCCTCTGGATGATAAGCTTTTAAGAAAAGGAACTAAGTTTTTCTTCTTCCTGTTTATCTCAAGAGCCTTGATAACTATCAAGTACTGGGTGTGTTCAATAAATACTTTTTGACTAAGTGAATGTATAAGTAGTAGACTTTATTTGTTCCTCTAGTAAAGAGCTTCCTCAAATATATCACGGAAGGAAACACCTGTATATATTTTCTTAGGTGCTAAGGATAATCACTCTCATCTACCATTTGTTCATTGATGTAATAAACATTTATTATG